TTTTTTTTTTTTTTTCCTTTTTTTTTTTCTCCAAGGCTTCTTTTGTCTTTAACTTAAAAAAAAAAAGTTACAGCAGCTGCTTCTTCCCCTAAGGATTCAGCAGCTTCTCTCACTTGCTCACTCTCCCTCCAGGGACAGGGCTAGGTAGCAGAGCCATTCACAGCAACTCCCATGCAGGACCAAGCATGCTCCAGCCCTTCTCCCCGGGCCTTCCTGAGCCTACACACAGGCATCACAGCTGCTCCTCCACAACCCAGGATGGTCTGCAGGTCACCCTGGTGCTCAGAGGAAAAGCCTGCCACCTGCCCTGCAGCTCAGTGCCCCATGGGCTCTTCCCTTTGACACTTGAGTTGTTTCTCCACCTTGCATCAGACACAGAAATTTAGAAAGCGCTGGCTGGAGCTGCAGGGGGATGCGGGAAGACCCGGCCACGTTCCCCTGGATGTACAGGGTCCACAAGCAGCGCGAGGGCTGAGAGTAAAGTGTGGGGCTGGGCCCGCCACAGAGCCTCTCCCCCCAGGAGCTCTCCGGGGCATCGTTGTGCTCCTGGGCATCCACCAACCACCTCAGCTGTGCTAGGGCAGCCACCAGGGCAGAGCCAGGCAGTCTGCAAGTCTGTCAGGCAGCCCAGTGAGGAGGCACGGAGAGCAGAGGGCTCACTGTAGTGCATTCGAGGAGGATAGGGCTACGTGCCACAGGCTGTGCCTTACCCTCCAGAGGGAGGGCATGTAGGCCCAACCAGCGATGCACATGCAAGCTGGCCACTCTCCCCTGTCCAGAGCCCAGGGTGAGTTGCTGCAGCCAGGACCTGTCACCCCCACAAAGGCACATTGCTGAGGCCAGCAGCACAGTCTCGGAATGCTCTGCTCCGAGCTGTGCCCACAGGACAGCTCTGGGTCTGAGCTGAGCCCCACACAGAGCAAACGCTCATGGGCAAGGTGACTCAGAGCACCTGGGAGGAGCCAGAGCCTCCAGCTGGGAATGGTCTGCAGTATTTATTTACAGCGCAGAGCAATCCTCCCCTCAAGAGACAAGTTTCTTTGGCTGGCATGAGACAAGCACAGCTATTGCAGCATCCAAACGCCCCCAAGCCCTGCATGGCCCCAGCACAGCTCCACCCTCGGTGGGTCCTGCAGCCCCACGCGCATGCCTGTGTGTATGTGTGGGTGGGTGCGTGTGTGTGTGTGCATGTGTGGATGAAGGAAACGTGAAAAGGCAACAATAAATAACTGGTGCAGTCTGTACGAGGAATTGCCGCCAGCCCCAGCACTGGTATGACAGGCCAGGGATAGCACAAGGCTGGCAGCAGAGGCCTCTCAGTCACTCTTGGCACTGTGTGAGGTCTCCAAGTTGACCACCTGCAGCTCCGTCAGGCTGCTGCCACTGCTGCTCTGCTGCCCGATGACAGCCATCTAGAGAGAAAAGGGAGGAGGAAGCACTGAGGGACAGCATGCTTTGAGACCATGTGTGCCAGCAGCCAGGGTGGTACTGTCCTTTCTGGGCACCTGTCCAAGGAGGGCAAGACTTCCTCACCCAAGGGTGGGTAGCACTGATGGCTTTCCCAGACCTGAGGACTGGCCCTACCCAAGGGCTTGGGTTTGCCCAGACCCATAAAGGATGTGCAGGTACAGGCAGAGCAAGGTCACCCCCTGAACACCTGCAAGTACCATTCTGCACCTACCTGGTGAAGCTGGACAGCTGAGACTGGGATCTGAACGGTGCCTGATGGAGCTGTGAGGAACACTTGGGGGACGCCACCTGCCACAGAGAGATAGCACAAATGACACTGTCCCTTAAACAGTGCTCCCCCATGCATCCTTTCTCTGAGCTCCATGGAGCTTCACAAAGGATGAAGGTGCCTGCTTTGCATGCATCCTAGTAGAAAGCCACATGTGCTAGTTTTCCAAATGCTGGGAGAAGCAGGCTCAAGCTCTCAATCCAATTGTTGCCTGCATGGCTTCATGCTGCTTTGCCCCCTCATGCAACCACACATCCTCTCCAGAGTCTCCTAGCTTCCCCTCCACTGCCTGCCCCATAGGCCACCCATCCTGGCAACCTTCACCCTTTTTCCCCAGAAAACGGTTCAAGCAATCCATTGCATAGGAGAATGATGGGATCTAAAAAAAATGTGCATCAAGCATCACCCTTGCCAGGACTTTGTACAGCCACTTAGGACCACTTAGAAGAAAATTCTCTGGAATTAATATACAGCATAAATACATTCAAGACACGAAAAATCAGGGTGTCAGAGCACTTAAGGGAGCACTGACCCAGACAGCTGTCTTACCCTGATCCTGGACCTGGCCGTGGGACACCTGCATCGCTGAGGGCGCCTGTGAGAAAGCGTTGAGGACTGCAAGTCCACCGTCCGCAAGGCCAGATGTTGGCGCATACATCACCGCGTGTGGGCTGGGGTACATCATGTGGCCACCCACAGTGGTTGGCACAGACGACGTCATGATGGTCGCCGGGAGGGTCACTGGCACCAGGACAGACTACATGTGAGCCACGCAAAAGGAGCCTGCTACACTCACACGCCTGCTCAGCACCCCTCCCTCAGCCACCCTTGGCATGCTGTCCTGAAGCAGCAGGTGCATGGAGATACCCATCTTGTCCTCCCAAGTTCTTTGGAGAAAGCCCCAGGGAACAGGCAGGAGAGCTCAAACCACTCCTTTCAAAAGTGAATACGAGAGGGCAGAAAAGCACAGTAGACAAATATCCTAGGAATGAATTCAAGTTGCAATACAAATTTCCTGATGAAACTTTATTAAAGCTGTTGAACTGGACTCAGCCTGCATCCAGGCACCTGAACTCAGGTTTTGCTGACAACAGAGGTGTCCTCTACATATACAGTAAAAATCTCAAGTAGATGCGAGTCAACGCCTTGTGCTAGGGGCAATGCTGGCTCACTAAAAAACCATCTGAGAACTGGGCAACCTGTTCCCAGCTCCATGCTTCAAGTAAGAGCAGATGATGTATCTGGAGAGGCTGTGAAATCTCTTGTAAGGTGCCCTATGCACAGCAGCATCTACCTAGATATAACATAGCATAGGGCCTGGCAACAGGGATAAATACACCTGTGAAACTGTCAGAAAGGCTGGGATAGTGTTGGTCTGAAGAAGGATCCTGGACAGGGAGCAGGCATGAGGTCTACTGGTGTGGGCTGTTATCAGCAGTAGTGAGGAAGGAAGACAGAACATGTTTACCATAACATCCCAATTACCTGTTCCACTGGAAGAGGTCTGGGTAAGGTCAGTGCTGCTGTCACTAGAGGGAGACGTTTGCTGCGGTGCCTGGTGCACCTGGATCGCCTGGACTGGGACCTGCTGAGCCATGGTGGGGCCGGCTGCGCCCCACGGGTGGGCAGGGCAGCAGGGACCCCCCTCCCGCGGGTGGTGTGTGGAGGGGACAGTCCGGACACCTCTCCCTTGGGAACCGATGGGCTGAGCTCTCCCGGGGAGCTGAGCTTCAAAGCGGCTCTGGGTGGAGACTCTCGGATGC